GTTGGGAACCACTGGACTGAACTAATGGTTTATAATGAAGTTAAAACTAGCTTACTGTAAACAAAGTCATTTAAACTAGCGAACTGTGTATTAAGTATTTAATATTAGCTAACTGTATACAAAGTAGTTCAAACTAACTAACTGTGTATACAGTATTAGCCTAACACCTAAAATCCACTGACTCTGGCTATGGCGCCTAAATTCAGTCATTTGGAGTGAGTGTGTGTTTTATCTTAAGTATGTTACTGTCACCAGGATGGTCTAATTATACTCGGTTGATAGGAACTACTTTTCCTTCCGCTTATCAAAGTCAAGCTTGCGCTACGGCTCTGATGGAGCTTCTTTGAAGTAAGCAGCTGCAGCCCTTTACATTGCCCGTGATTGAATACTGACTCTGGCTGACTGTAAAAACAGTCAGGTCTGGCTGTATTTTAGCTGTGAAGGTAATAATGTTGCTCTGTGTGATATGTGTGCAAAGACAGTGAAATACTTTGGTAACACCGCGATTAAGTCTGTCACAATAATAGGATGATGTTATGAAGCGGCAGTTCTGAGCAGGATATTTTTATTATATATATATATATATATATTTTATTTTATATATAAAGCAGTTAAAACTAGTTAACTGTATATAAAGCTGTTAAAACTAGCTACTAGCTTGATCCCCTGCTGAGTTTGTACGTTTGCCACTGACAAAGAAATTATCAGTCTGTAATTTTAGTGGTAGGTTTATTTGAAAATTGAGAGACAGAATAACAAAAAAAATCTGAAAAACGCATGTCAAAAATTTTATAAATTGATTTGCATTTTAATGAGTGAAATAAGTATTTGACCCCTCTGCAAAACATGACTTAGTACTTGGTGGAAAAACCATTGTTGGCAATCACAGAGGTCAGATGTTTCTTGTAGTTGGCCACCAGGTTTGCACTCATCTCAGGAGGGATGTTGTCCCACTCCTCTTTGCAGATCTTCTCTTAAGTCATTAAGGTTTCATGGACGACGTCTGGCAACTCGAACCTTCAGCTCCCTCCACAGATTTTCTATGGGATTAAGGTCTGGAGACTGGCTAGGCCACTCCAAGACCTTAATGTGCTTCTTCTTGAGCCATTCCTTTATTGCCTTGGCCATGTGTTTTGGGTCAGTGTCCTGCTGGATTACCCATCCACGGCCCATTTTCAATGCCCTGGCTAAACGAAGGAGGATCTCCCCCAAGATTTGACGGTACATGTCCGTCATCCCTTTGATGCGGTGAAGTTGTCCTGTCCCCTTAGCATAAAATCACCCGCAAAGCGTACACCTTAAAGACTATGATTAATACACAGTTAAAAACGAGGACATTTCCGGGGACAGCGCCAGACGGGGAAAACAGGGACGTCTGGTCACCCTAGGCTATGTCAGTTAAAACTAGCTGTATATAAAGCTGTTAAAACTAGTTAACTGTTCATAAATAATGTAAAACTAGCTAACTTAACTGTATATAAAGCTTATAAAACTAGCTAGCTGTAAATAAAGTTGGTAAAACTTGGTGTATAGAGATTAAACGAGCTATATAAAAGAGTAGAAACTAGCTATGTTTATATAAAGCAGTTCACACTAACTAACTGTATCATTCACATGGGACATTTTACTGCAGAGTGCTTTTACTGTTGACACTAACACAGCCCTCCTTTTAACTTTTGTAGGATTTTGAATTCAGGACCCCTGTTTAAACACATCTGGTTATCCTAAGAAAATGTTCAGCACATCCGTATGTTTTAAGCTTTGTGAGGCAGATAAATAGAAGTAGAACAAAGATGTATATACTAATTCCACTGAAGTTAAACAGGACCCTAAATCAATATGCAAAACCACTGACTTGGTCCTAACTTCAATTAGTCAAACAAGAACAGACGCACAAGTAAAGTTGTGAGTAATCTGCTCTCCATGCGGCAAAATACTAACAAATTAAATCCTCAGATGAAGCTTTGATTCACAAACATTTATTTGACAGAGGTCATATTATAAGAGCGAGGATTTCACCATCACAGCAGCTGATGTATTGGTTATTAGATTTGGACAGAAAACAACCACCTGCTTCTTGTAAAGCAGTGAAGCAAATCATGAATGATGTGCGTGTGTGTGTGTGTGATGCAGACCGAGGATCTGTGTTTTATCTTCTGTCGGGTTTTTTTTTTATTAATCCTCGCTGTTTTTGGATGTCTGCCTGCACAAACTTTGTCAATCAAGCTTTAGCTGCATTTAAACAAAGGCTTTTCAGTAGAGTCCAGTTTATACTAAAGAGACATGATCAAGTAAAGACAAGCAGCTCTGCACTGTAAAAAAACCTCTTTATATTTATTCCTTTTATTGGATCATGGAGTGTTTGTGTCCATCTTCAAAGAGACTGCAGAAGCTAAATCTGCTACAGGGCATTTATTTTTCTTTGAGATCAATAATGTTTGTACAATTTATTAAATATATCTGATAAAATGAAAATAAGTCGAAACTCTGTTGTTTTACTGTTCAGCTGTTTGTTATCCACCTCACAGCTGTAATATAATATATACTGTAGTTACAGCCAGTGCTGGAAGAATTACTCAGATAGTACTGCATTAAAAATGTTACTTATGTACAGTATTGGGCAAGTTACTTCCAAAATGTAATACTAAGGTTCAGCATGTAAGTTTTAGTGACATCTAGTGGTGAGGGTTGTGAATTGCAACCAGCGGCTCACGGTGCATTCACATGCTCCTCAGATGGTCCCATTTCCAGAGTTGTGAAGTCGTTCTTTCGACTTCATTGTGTGTTCATGTGCTCGTAAGTCAGAATGTGGAATCAACATGGACACCACTACAAAGATGTGTTGGAATAGCATTAACAGAGCATATAAATTACACACAGACATCCAGTTCACTCTACATGGACAACAAACTAACCGTTATAACCACATTACAAATTACATATTTGCAAAATACGGATATGCAATACGTGATCAAAGTTCTGCATATTTCTTTGTGTCCCATGGACTCCTTATTTCTCTTTTTGCAATAAAACTAAAAACAACTACAGTGGACGACACACTCTGTTGGCTCTTGTGCTAAATAATACATGTGGGCCTCCATTTGTCCAAATTTCTCTTCTTTTCTTACTTCCAATAAATCAGACGACTACTACAACTTACGTTTCTTGTTGTTGTTGTTGTTGTTCTTTTTACTAAGCTGAGGATGGATCTCCACAGAACCAAGATACAAAAACGTTTCTCTGCTTGGTTGGTGAAAACCTGGCCAGCTTATAGACCTGCACAATTTAATATGAGACACTTATAGAGTGAACAGCAACAGCTTAGATGCAAAGTGGGTTTTTCAAATAATAAAGGTTACCTCAACTTTGGTTCAGTACGCAAACAAATTGATAGATCCACTGCTGCTGTGTTACAATCTGACCACACTAACACACATTAGGTGTGGAATATAACTCCCTACATTTTATCACACTGTACTTAAGTATATAAGTATAATTTTGTTGTATTTTTCCTCTTGTGTTTCTCTGTTTTACTAGAATTCAGAGGCAAATATTATACATTTACCCAACATGTCCTCAAACCTGTGGTTAACACCGCAGTTTGGTTATGTTTAGGCAACAAAACTATTTGGTTAGTAAATATACGTTGCTTAACCCCGCTTAAAATAAGTCACGTCATTTCACTTAATCGCTCTGAATACTACGTCACCTGACTTTGCGCCTGGCAATAAAAGCAAATACAGATCATAAGGTGCTTGAACAATAGACCAACTGTATATGGTCGTTTTTCAGGTGAGGATTGGCTGTTTTTTCCTCCACTACATTTATTTGACAGCTATAGTTGTTAATTTGTAAACTGTTATAATAATAATAATAATAATAATACACAGTTTTATGTAATATAATGCTTTTTAGCCATGCTAGCAGCAAGTCATTTGGTCAAGAATAAAACATCATAATAATATATAATAATTATAACAACAGCTATTTGACAGATGGCCATGAAACTCTGTACAGACATTCATAATGTGGATCCTACTGACTTGAATGATGCTCTGACTTTTTCCTTTAGCGCCACCAGATTTAAGTTTTCACTTAAACTGTCAAATCAAATTCTATTTGCATTTTCAGTCATTTATAATTCCCTGATGAATTGTAATATCTTTTGTGATGCCTTGAAGTTTCTACTTGTTAATTTGTCCGATAGGGCTCCTTAAATAGGACACCTGAAAAACGCATCAGCCTCAGCTGTACTTTGTGTTTAGGCCTAATTAGGTGTGAAATATTAGTGTGCTAAAACGCTAAACTAAGAATGTTACATTGGTAAACACCATACCTGCTAAACTGCACAATCGCAACAGCAGGTTGACTGTGCTCCCAGCTGTCAGCACAAGACTCTGGCAAGATTAGAGGATGTGGACTCTGCTTCTCAAATGTCAGAAGATGAAACTACATTATCATCTTGTTGTTGCTGTTTACTTTCAACCCAGATGCAAATTCAAAAAAAGCATTGCAGAATGTTCTGGGTGTAAATATGTGTCTGTATATATGTAGGCCTATATAAATATCTGTAAATATTGTTTTATTTTTATTCAAATGTTACAATATTTTAATGCACATTTAATTATCCATTAAGTTATGCGTGTGAAGCATGAAGGCACTACAACAGCATTGTATAATAACAAATTATACTACCTTGTGCCTTGTAAAGCTGTCAAACAAATATAGGGCAGTAGGCCTACAATATTCTCTGAGATGTAGAAATACTCAACTAAAGTACCAGTATCTTGGATTTGTGTAGTACTTGAGTAAATGTACTTACATTCCATCACTGACTGACGAAAATATCTACTTTGATCACAGAGTTGATTTGCCTTAACGCCGTTTTTTACAGTGTAGAAGATGAGAGAGATATGGGAGGGGTGGAGGGTGGAAAGAGGAGGAGGAGGAGGAGGAGGAGGAGGATGGTCCTGCTGTCAAACACAGATGAGAATACAGCAGCAGCAGGTTTCAGGAGGGCACCGCCGTTAGATAATCGCATTTATTCTCCCCTCGGACGCGGCGGGGACCAATGGAAGCGCAGCGACGAGCCCAGCACGGAGAAGAAATCATTTTTATTTAATTCCCTCCAACTCCGGAGCCGCCTGGAGAGGCGACGTGTGCAGACCGCTGATGCTGCACAGACACCCGTCCAACCCCGCAAACTTCAGACTGGATCTATAAACTGTATTAATCCTCCGATGCTCTCTGCAGGTCTCTGCCAGCTGCCGGGCGACTTTCAGCGTCGTAATTACACAGCAATTATACAATTATGGATTAATTAGCGAGAGAGCGGCTTCATTATAGCAACAGATGAGAGAATGTTAAATAACAGAGACGTTAAAGAGCTGAGGCAGCCCACCTGCGGCCTTTAAGGTGAGTGAATATATTACTGTTACAGGCTACACAGAAAGCGACGCACATAATATAATATCTTTAATTAGCAAACTGCTGCTCTAATTGTTGTTTCCAGTGAAGTCAAACAGAAAGATTTTACTCCCCTGCAGTGGTGGAAAGTAGCCTACTGTACTTAAGCAAAAAGTTTAGGTACTTGTACTTTACTTGAGTATTTCCATTTTCTGCTTTCTATACTTCTCCTCCACTAACCTACATCTCAGAGGTAACTATTTATTTTTTATTGGACTACATTTGTGTGACAGCTTTATAGCTTGTAGATTTAGATGAATAATACAAATATAATTTAATTATCAGAATCAGAATCACGTTTGTTGCCAGGTACATTTTCACATGAGAAGAATTTGCTTTTTGTATATTGGTGCTTAACAGTACATATAAACATAAAGAGATCCAAAATGTACAAGTATACAAAATAATACAAATTAATGCAAAACCACAACAAAAAAAAAACAGTATATTTGGGGAATGTGCAAAAATTCAAAATATGAGCAATAATGATGTCTTATTATCAGTTAGAGTAAGTAAGTATTGATCCACTAGCAGCCCAGCAGTAAAGTAATTAAAATGAGCTCCTCCTTTATCAGCTTCTGACCATTCAATTAATGAACACATTAATGCATAGATAATTATAATCCAATAATATAATATATCCAATATTCTGACAATCTGCATAGCAAGTACTTTTGCTTTCGGTACAATAATACTTTTGTATGTCTACAGTGTGTTGTAGTACAAGATCTAAGTACTTCTTCCACCGCTGATTTCCTGTCCAACAGAGTCTCATCTTAAAATAATTCAGGAGTAACATGATTTCTGTGTTAGATAAAAAGCAGACACAGAATTAAGATGAAACATCAAGGAAATCTTGATAATATTATAATTAAACAGTTATTTGTTATATTATCAGTATATGTTTGGAATAAGTCTGCATTCATTTGGAAATGTAAAGGTCGGTCATGGAAACATGCATGCTTCTAAGATTTTTTGATATCATACCGCCCCAACAAAAACCCAAACCAAACCAGCCAAGGTCAGTGAGAAAATGTGTTTATTTGTAAATGAATCTGCCCTTTAAGCTTACAGTGTGTGTTTTTATGTTATCATATATATATATTTGCGTTAAAAACTTGTTTATTAAGGATGTCAGCTTAAAAAGAAACTATCTGCTGAACTGAAGCTGTAGTCAAAGCAGCTTCTTTAGTTCGGTCGGCTGTTCGATGTCAGATAATTTAACCTCTCACCACAGCCAGTGAGAGTTTTTAAGGTCACACAGCAGTCGTGTGAGAGTCGACAGAGTCACACAAATCGAGGCCTGAATTGGTGTGAAGCCACAGGTGTCCGTACACAGACCCATAGGATGTAATGTGGTCGTATCTATTCTTCTTAAATTATTAGTCAATTAATCAATGAGTCAATCAACAGAAAACGTATGGCTGTAGTTATTAATAGCCCTTCACCACACGCATCAACCTCACTACGCACTTTATAATGCTCCAGTCACACCACACTCACTCTGCCTTACAAAAATAGATCAGCTCTGTCTCGTCAAAGTCCTTATATAGGAAAATCCCGCCACTCGGCAGCCATCTTGGTAACACCTCCGGGGAGTTATTTCAGAGTAACAAGATCAGGCCCCTCTCTAAATGAAGGAAGAGAGAGCCATAACTGCACTTTCACTGCTCACAGGGACATAAAAACTGCTTGTATAGAATCACCAGTATAATCTGAAAAAGTTTAATGACTTTGCCTCAAAGGAATGTTTAAAAAGCGTTTTCCTCCCCAGGTTGCACTTCTGCTACGCAAGCGCACAACACCGACTTTATTTTACGGCTCTATCCACAGCGATGTGACGGCATGAGTTCATCCCACCGGAGCGCTTTAACAAAAGCTAAGCTAACTGACGTTATGGATACAGTAAGCGTATACTGGATACATTTTCTAACATATATTATATGTTATATTATATAAGTACTGCAAATCCGCCTTCTCACGCAGTATTTTGGCGGACAAGTAGTGCATCTGATCTGGTCACACACCTACTCCACCTGCACCGCCACCACAACATCTGAAACTGTCCCAAACCTCAGCTGCGCTCTGACATCAGTGGAGCCACACAATTGGCTGAATATGTTTCCTGGCTCAGCTAAAAGCAGACGATTGGCTTTCTTGTGGGAGAGGCGGGACATGTGCATACAACCGCCATCTTTGGCATTACCTGCTTTCCCTGTAGCAGGGGTTTTCAAAGTCTGACACTATGGACCTCCCCTCAGACAAAGCTTGGGAGCAAAGCATCTTTAGTTTACTTGTTAAGTTTTGCTCAATTCCTCGATGCCTACGGGATCATTATATTATTTGATCCCATAGACGCTCAACATTTGAGCCAAACTAGCGTAATATTGCTGTTAGACATAACTTCTGACTACACCAAATAGTTAAAAAAAATGTCTGTCCTAAGGCATTTATTAGTTTATTAGCGTTGTATGGTGACTTGTCTTGTAATTTGAATTATTGGCACTTTGTTTTTAGCACCTTGGACAGTGAGAAACGGCATTTTGTTCATTTGTGCAGGCCTACCGTAAAACTTCAGGCTTTTATTTCACTCACTGAACTCCCCCTGCCTATATTTGGGACAGGCCTTTAATTCCTTTACCATGCCAGTAAATGAATAATGCTTTAGTGCTTATTGTTGCCGAGTGAATTGTAGAGAATCGATCTGATCTAACAATGTGTAGCATTTCCATATTGACACAAGTTTAAACATTTATATTGGTATGCACGATCTCAGCAGCTTAGAACCAAGCTCAAACAGGCGACCCAGCGGGCTTCAAGAGGTTTGATACATCCAAAGAACATCTATCAAACCAGACCAGGGGTCTAATTGGAACCTGCTATTATTTATCAAAACGTGTAGCCACACCAGGCCAGTAAAAGGGACAGGCGTCTAATTGGGACTCGGCTTTCAGTTTTAAGTTTTACAGTACTTGGTATGTGGATGAATGACAAGAAACAAACTTAACTCAGGGCTGGTCCCTGGCACGGGCGGGGAAATGTGAGAAAAGAGAAAGTGCTGTGAGTCGCAGCCAGTTTATGATAGTGGGAGTGTAGTTTGCAATATAAAAATGTAAACACTGAAGCGTAACCTTGCTCTGTGTGGGTCTGTGAGCTGCACTTTATTGGAGAGGCTGAAGGTAACGTGTTAACTGAAGTTAATATGTGTGAATTTGTGGTGAGAGAAGTGTTTTCAGTTAGATTCGGTTTCACATGCATGTCTGTCAGATGGTTAGAAGGGGAAAATACCCGCGGAGCAATAACGTAATGCACAGCAGAGTATAGGGCAGGTAGAATTAAAAATAATATGAATGTTCATTAAATGGCGTCTCTGAGATTCTGAATGTGCAGAAAGTTTTGAACATAAGCTGAAAACCTTCTGAAACACTGGAGCTATTAAAGTCCAGGATTTTAAAATTTATTTAATTAATTGAGGTGAAAAAAGGTGCCACATGTACATTTAAAGTGGTTACTTCCCTAAACAAAAGACACAAAGAGGAAGGAAGACTGAGTCATGTCTCAGCTGGGATATTACATGAGAAAACTGTATCTACAGGAAAATACAACAACACAGAATGCTTGAGAGCCGTACTGCAATATATATTCATATTCAGTCATATTTTTAGATTTTGTCACCAGCCACCTGAATTTTATGTTTCCCTTTGTATAAATAAAAACAATTTGACCATAAATTGGTACAGAACATTTCACCAGAATGCACAAAAGTGAGTGTTCAAGAACCCATACCTGACATTAATACTTGGTATCAGAATCAAATAAAGTCAATATCTTTCTCTCTCTCCTCTTTTGAAGCTGTCCAGGTATTTGACAGGTGTATTTAATAAAATAAACTGGAGGTGTGGTCTTACCATGGTGAAAGCTTACCCTGGAGATGAAACTGGAACCTAAATTAACTCTATAATAAAATATTTATAACTAGCTATATGTTTCTTTTGTATTCAATGCTTGAACTGAGAGCTCCCGAAAGCCACTGTATAAGTTGGACACCGCTGAACTCACGTACATATAAAATAATTAAATAGCAAACTTATTTTATATTGTGCCTTTTATAGATAAATACGGCTTGAACAAAATAAAAAAGGAAGAAAACCTCTAAAGCTCTAAACCTTTTATTTCACTCTCCTGGTAAGGTAAAGGTGTCCATACGCTGTATAACATTTTTTACTCTTAACTTTAGACCTTTGTAATTTTCTTCTCTGTCTTATTTTCTTTATCTTAGGTTGCGTTCTGCTCTCAGAGCATATGGTGTCCCCTGGGATACACAAATAGATAACCATCCTGCTCAAACATTTACTGAAATCTACACAAAATCATGGCTACGCAGTAAATACTATTTTTAGGCTCTGTTCCAGTTTGGAGTAATAAGTTTAGCGAATTGGATTGGGATACTATCTGGAATAACATTTTTGTTTCTTCAAAAAATTGTATCATCAGAAAATACATTACATTTATTCATTTATCTGGTGAAAATGAATTGCTAGGCACGTCGGTTGCTTCCAGTCTGAAAAGGCCTTAATATGTTTAAATTATGTTCCTTATACAATCATGGACAAAAATATGGGCACCCCCTGCATGTCTGTACATAATGCACTATTTCTCCCAGAAAAGTATCGCAATTCCAAATGCTTTGGTAGTCTCATGTTTATTTGCATTGGAACAACACATAAAAAAGAAAAAAAGTCTGAGACATTTCACACAGAACTTCAAAAAATGGACTGAACTTATGTTGAGTGTCATCTGCATAGAAATGAAAGTCAATGAATGGCGACCCCTACTGGAAAGCAGTGGACCAAGGACAGAGCCTTGTGGTACTCCTTATGAAATGTTGGTTTGTAACAAGAGACTCTGAACTTAGTGTGTTAACGGAAATATACAGTTTCACTAAGACTTGATGTAGAAAAGACTGACTTGTTTTTTTTTTTGTCATCACAGCTTCTCTGTGGATCCTCCTCCTAACCTCCTGTCAACTGGATACACAAGTACCTCTTCCATCCCGTCACACACCCTGAAGCCAGCATGCCCATCATCAGTAATACCAATCAGGACTTCAGCACCTACTCCATCAGCAGTGACGACAGCAGCCTTGACCGCTTCTTCACCGAGATCCCTGAGACTGAGACGATCAAGGGCGTTTACTTCCAGCGCGCCCAGCTGCTTCGTGACCCCAAAGCCTCGTACGTGGTCGACCACACCTTGCAGGTTCTCATCAATGTCGGGGGCAACCGCTACACCTTCCCCTGGAGCACCTTGGAGCAGTTCCCCCAGAGTCGTCTGGGACGTCTGCGCTTCTGCACCACCCCCGAGGAGATCGCGCGACTCTGTGACGACTACGATGAGACGTGTCAGGAGTACTTCTTTGACCGAAACCCGACAGCCTTCAGGGTCATCCTCAATTTCCTGGCTGCAGGCAAATTGCGTCTGCTTCGGGAACTGTGTGCTGTCTCGCTGCACGATGAACTTGACTACTGGGGCGTGGACCCGGGCCATATGGAGCGTTGTTGCCGTCGCCGCATGATCACCCGTGTAGAGGAGGTGACTGAGCGAGAGCGCAAGGAAGAGGAGTGGAGGCAGAAAAGGGTGATGCTGAAGAAAAGCAACACACAGGCTGAAAAGGGCCACAGCAGACTGACCTGGATTCTGCGAGAAGTGGTGGAAAACCCTCAGTCAGGGTTGGCCGGGAAGATGTTCGCCTGCCTGTCTGTGGTCATGGTTCTGATCACTGTCATCAGCCTGTGCATCAGCACCATGCCAGACCTCCGAGATGAAGGCGACAGGGTGCGTATGAAGCCAATGAAAAGCTGACAGCAACTTATCATCCTGTTAAACCTGTTTTTTACACATTTGCTTCATGTTTTCCAGGAAAGTTTCCTGGATCAGTGCCTTGTTCTTTTCCTCAGAGGTTCAAATCAGCACAAAAGGCATCAAGTGACACTAATGTTTAAGTAAATTAACCAAAAGTTGTGTCACAAACGGCTGAGTTACGAGGCAGAAAATGCAGTGTTTAGGGCCCTAAATGTAAGACACTAGATAGCTGATTATGATAATGATGTTATTGTATTATATTATTATATTATATTTATTGAAGCATAAATCCAGACAGGGTTCAGTAATCCAACATGGAAACAATTCTACAGACAAGAAACGGTGACGATACGACAAATGATGACGACGCCACAACAGGTAGCGGGAACCCGGACAATACATACAGACAAGCATAAGCAGGAAGGGGAACAAAACAGGTGGGACACATTAGAAGTAATCAGTATGACAGATGTAGCACGCTACAAATGACAGATGATTACCACACTAAACAGTGTTCCCCACAGAATTACAGACAGCCCGGGTGGCTCCCTTTATGTTTCTGCTCTGATTGACTTTCTCCATCAGCAGTACGTTTTATAAAGTCGCCAAAAAGACACACACAGGTCGTCTTCTTGATTTTCCACCTGGGATTACTTTTCAGCAGCAGATGTGTGCATGTGGAGGAGGCTTGTTGACGAGGTAGCCTATCAGGACGATCGCAACTAAAAACAACGTGGTAGCTAACGAATGACTCTGCAGTGGTGTGTTCACTGTCGCTTTACCTGGCTCGTAAAATATTCACCATGTCGGCATCTTGTAAATAAAAACGCTTTCTGTGTTTCTCTGCAAAGTGCTAAAATGGGTGGCCAAATATACCTGGGCGGCCCGCTCAAGTAAAGTAGAACAGCAAACAGGACAAACACGCAGAAACAAAGACCAAAGAGACCAAAACTGTGATAACGTTGATCTGTACTTCTGTGTTAATTATACTTTCTCAAGAAACTTATGATCGAAACTTTAAGCTGCCCCATCAGTATTGATGCTCTATATTATTAACAATGGATAAGTTGACTGTATTGTTAAATTGGTGTATTGTTAAATAAGAAGAGGGCTCAAAAAGAGGAGGCAATTAAAAGAGCACCAGCCAAACCTCAGTGAAAAACAACGTAGAAAACACGATGGAAATATGGTGTTTAATTGTTTATTGTATCAATTTGAGGTATGTTATATTGCTCCTTATTGCTTTACACAGACCTCATGGTTAAATCTTTCCATTGCATTGCATCATTGCGTTTTGTTTAATTGATTCACCAAACTATTCCACCTGAAAACTGTGATATCCTTCGTTTCCTTCTTAAGTTTAATGTGCTGATTGAAAATGCGCATATAAACAGTTGGATGGAAACCACATACACTTGGGAACTAGCTGGTGAAGAAAATGGCTCAGAGTCAGATATTTTTCTCAGGTGCTGGTGGAGACAAAAAGCTGTTGTTCCCCTGCAGTAATCTCATGTATGAATAGTATGAAAGAAGCTATAGTTGTCAGGGTTGGCTGAGTGCGTGTGCGGTGGAGCAGGTTCTTAGGACCCAAACGCAGGACAAAGGCAGGATCAGATTCGAATGCAGGTTTTATTACTCCAAAGCACACACACACACACACACACACACACACACACACACACACACAAGCACCCACACTGGCAGGGCCATTAACAGACAGAACACAGACATATAAAACCAGACGGAATAAACCAGAACCATGAACAGAGGCAGACAGATCACAACCAGATATACAAAAACACGAGTCCGGGCTAAAACTATCATATAAGATTAACCTACACAGAAAAGAACACAGGGAGACTGCACACAAGATGTCAGTGACAAAACAAACAGAAACTGGACTGAAAACCGAACGGTTAAAGCAGACTATAAAACTGAATAACACAGGTAACCTCCACAACAAGACACAGAACTGATAAGGAAGCCTGACTTCATACTACGGCTAAAATACAGCACTAAGAACTAAGACAAGATGAAAAAAAAGCAAAACAAGGCTGAACAGTGGAAACACAAGGCATGGAACAAGACAGGAAAACTGAACAACCATGAAACAAGAATCAGAACTCAACACAGACAAACTCAGGCCAGGATTACGGAACAGACTAACATCACACAACCAAACAGGGAGAGGTAAATAATCAAAGCAAGCAGGATTGCGACAATAATCACATAATAATGATTCAGTATAAACGTAAAAAGTTTACAAACAAGAGAAAGATGTTCAAAAATAATTTAGTAATCAGTAGAGAATCAAAAGCAATAAAAAAGTGACTCAATTATTGTAATTTAACAGTTTGCCTTGATAGCGATAATGATGTACCGTATATTGTTGGTTTTACAGCCTTTTCAAGGAAGAACAGTAAATAATCACAGCCATGAATTAAATGAACTCTTGCCTGTATAACATAGAATTAATAAATAATTATAAATAGATAAATATTATTCAAAATAGCTGAATTGATTGGAGACTGTCAATCACAGTGAAAAGACAGGGTTGATTTCAAAATAAAGTCAAAGCCAGGGTTATTGTAAACCAGCATGGGGTGAGGAATTGTTAACAAGATTGATTTGCCAATGTGAGTGTTAAATCATAGATTTCTGCAGGGATTCTTCAGGAGACGGGCTGTGGAATTGATTGTATAACTAATTGTCAGTGTGAAGAGTCTCAACTGGGCGATGTGTTTGTGTTTCTAAGCTGGAGATTTCTCCTTGATGTGCAGTCGATCGCTCTAATCAAGACAAGGGAAAAATCAAAGCATGGACGCGTTCAGCTTAGAAACTGAAGCGCACAAAACAATCTTTCATATGTTATTATATGTAATTTATGAGAGTTGAGACTGAACAAACATCTGGAGCTGTGTTTCTAAGTTTGGCTCTGAGGCAAAAGCAGAGCCAAGATTCCTTTTAATTTCTGGAAAGGGGTTTTGTTTGCAGTTTTGGCTTTCTGGCAGACGTGTAAAGTTAAATGTAGGCCAGCTTTTATTTTGCTTGACAGGCAAATAAGGCTGATAAAAATTAGATAAAGCTGAAAGTTGGCTTGTCAAAGAAAGCAAGTTTACAAAGGGACTAAAATTTGTGGTAAGTGACTTTCAGACAGAAGAAGACAAAAGCAGTTTTGCCAGCTGAAATAACTTCTGTCACTATCAGACTGTGGCTAGCTAGTTAATTAACAACACCCCTTGAGTTGGCATTAATGGCTCTTGTCTTAAATATGCATTTAATGTGACATAATTCTAATTCCACGCTGCTTAAGAAAAAATTAAGGAAAATTATTTATTTAGTTATTCTTGTATTTCAAGAAATAAATGTAAAAACCAAATTATTATTATGATTAAACATGTTTACTTTAGATTAGATAAGAGTTACTAACAACATTAACATTAACAAAAATAATAGATTTATGCTTTATTTTTAAACAATCTCTTTTAAACAAAGGGGATTTGAGGATGATGTGGATCATGGATCATGTCCTGTAAACGTCCCCAAATCCAGACATTGGCTTAAGCTCTGATATAGGGTTTAGCATTTTTGGTTGTAAAGTAACCAAAAAATTATTTCTTTTGCTAATGATTAAGCTAACTCTTTGCCTTAGAAGAAACGCTAGGTTACTACTGCAGGTGTGTTTGTATGTTGGAACAGAAAAAGCTATGTTTAATCCGTTCGTTGCACTTTCACGCTTGTATTTTTTTGGAGTGCTAAAAACCCTTGACCCTTGAGGCTAGGGGTGACCAGAGGAGAACAGGTGAAATTTGGGACAGTTTGGGGTAAGGCTGGGCGATAGGGCCAAAAATGTAATCACGATAACAAATCTCATTCAGTATCAATAATTATCAGGATAATTGTAAAATCATTATTTCGTTCAAGTTTAAAGGCAGATTTTTGCTCCCGAGTGAAAGTTTGAAGAAACCAGATGGTTAATTGTGGTTCTGGTCAGAATAAACACTTGATGGCAAACAGTGGATCACTTCACAAATCGGAGGCAAAACAATTATGATAAAATCTGTTTTCAGCAAATATGCATAAGTAAAATTAAATAAAGTATTTTTTCAGTCCCTTTTCCTCAACAAAATAAATATGATAATAGAAAAAATATTGAATTAACAATACAAATTTATTGAAAATTTGTTATATTGTTATAATATTGTTATATTGCGATGATTATCATTATTGTTTTATTGCCCAGTGTTAGTTGTTGGGGGTGGGCGTGGCCATTCAGTGTCAACGACATCAAAACTCAACGCTAAAATTAATTATTTTTGTTCATCAAGTCAACTGTCTGTCATTAGGAAAAAACAGAACGACGTGTTGTGTAAATCATGATCTGTTACATACAATTTATTTAATTAATTTCATCAGCGCTGTCACATCTTTCTGTGCAACAAATGTCAGATCTCTCCTTCTCTGTGGCTGCCTGCAGCTCCCCTGTCCTCCGTGACCGTAACTTTCATCTACACTAGAAAACAGAAAGAGGAAAAGAGCATCCATGTTACTTTAGCGCTATAACAACACTGAACACAATGTCCAGATACCCTGCAGTCCCTGCTGTAGATGGAGAGCTGAACATTGCCCATCTGTGGGAAACATTAAATAACCATAACCATGTAAAGTATCAGCAAGCCAACTAACCAGAGTATTGTGTTAATGTGTACTGTGTGTTATGTGCTTATTATGTTCCAGAATAGAAATAGTAAATTGTTGAAATTATGTAGTAAGTTAACTCCTTCACAAACACTTAATTATTTTCCCTCTGGTAACACAATATGCACACTTCTAGATTAAGTATTGATTTTAATACTGAATTGAGTGTGTAGGTTTTAGTGGCGTCTAGTGGTGAGGGTTGCGAATTGCAACAAACGTCTCACTGTGCATTCACGTGCTCCTCTGGACAGAATAAGAACGTTATTATAAATGTATTAATTCTAATGGCAATTGTAAATTCAGCAGAAAAAAAACCTAACTTTGTACTTTTTCTCCATGAGGTTGTACATTACATCAATTTAATTTCCAAATCCAACAACAAAAAGGCTGAAAACTTTCAACACATCTTATAATATCTGTATATAATATAGACTACACAGTAGTGTTGTAGTCTAGACCGCCCAAACCAAGACTAGAGTTTATCAAGACCGAGACAAGACCGAGACTTTTAGGGGCTGAGACCAAGTTCAGACTGAATGTGGAACGAGATCATAGATCTGAAAGATCCACATTCCCATTAAAACACCCACATACAAACACTAAGAGCTGAAATCAACGTAAGCATCTTTATTCAACACTCCTTTTGCATGCGGCCCATCACAGGGAGGGGGGACGGTCGTTACGGTAACAACACATTTTTAATTAGTTATTGGTTGCATTTGAAGCAATACGTTGTGCATCCAATCAAAGTTAAGACGTTAACAAATAAATCAGACAATGCAAAAGCAATTTATTGATATTCCCAAAGTTATGGTTTTGAAAGAATATTATAGCGTTTCTAAATAGCCGGCTACTTGAAATAGACCCGCGAGGAACCGCAACATGCACACAGCTGTCAGCAGCTAAACTCTACACCGGTGAATGAAAGGTGAGGGCGAGAGAGCGAGAGAGAGAGAGAGAGAGAAAACAGCCCTAGTTTATATTATTATTAAAATAAAAACATGAAAAATTCACAATACAAAATCATATCATGATAAATAATAAATATAAAAATATATATATAGCTTTATTCTAACCTTAAGGTCTCACGTCCAATGTAAAATAACCCTGATGACAATATCAAGAAGTATGTTCTCAGATGTTGAGGACAGTGAGGAAGTATTCGGATACTTCACTGGAGTAAAAGCTTGGTTGTTGTGTCCAACAGGTAACAGTTATTAACAAACATGACAATTATTGAAATCATTCAAAGGAAAAGCAGCAAATCTTGTTGGAACCATGTTGTGTTTTTACATGAAAAATTACTTCAAATCAAATTCAAGATAGTTGCCATTAAATTGGTTAATTATTACTGATAATCAATAATTGATTATTAATTATTATCAATACATTCTATTTTCATATGTTTTGTATAACTAAAGCTGTCAGATAAATATAGTGAAGTAAAAAGAACAATATTTACCTCTGAGATGTGGAAGTAGAAAGTACCTCAAATTTGTACTAAAGTACAGTACTTGACTAAATGTACCACCACTGCTCCTGCAGGAGACGTTACACTCTCACAGGCTGCTAACCATCGTGACGGTTGTGAAATTGGTGCAGTGACCCTTTAAAGGTCGTGTCTCTGTGTCTGCAGGGCGAGTGCTCCCAGAAGTGCCGCAGCATGTTTGTGGTGGAGTCCATCTGCGTGGCGTGGTTCACCTTGGAGTTTGTGCTGCGATTTGTCAACGCTCAGAGCAAGCTGGCCTTCGCTCGCGGCCCCCTCAACATCATCGACGCCATCGCCATCCTGCCGTACTACGTGTCCCTGGTCGTCGATGTGAGAGATGAGTCACAGGAGGATGTCATCATGGGCGCCGGCAGAGGCTATCTGGACAAACTGAGCCTGATCCTGCGCTTGCTGCGGGCCCTGCGGATCCTGTACGTGATGCGGCTGGCTCGCCACTCTCTGGGCCTGCAGACGTTGGGGCTCACCATGCAGCGCAGCATCAGGGAGTTCGGCCTGCTGCTGCTGTTTGTCTGCGTGGCCGTGACCCTGTTCTCACCTCTGGTCCATCTAGCGGAGAGTGAACTGGCGCCATTTGCCGCCACGCACCACCAGCACAGCTTCAGCAGCATCCCGGCCTCCTACTGGTGGGCCATCATCTCGATGACCACGGTGGGCTACGGCGACATGGTGCCGCGCAGCATCCCCGGACAGATAGTCGCACTGACCAGCATCCTGAGCGGCATCCTCATCATGGCGTTCCCCGCCACGTCCATCTTCCACACCTTCTCCCGCTCCTACCAGGAGCTCAAGCTGGAGTATGAGCGGCTGTGGAAGGAGGAGAGAGGCGAGGAAATAGCCGCGGAGTCGGAGGAGAGTTGGTCCAAAGTCGATCTGTCACCAGATGAGCTCACGTCTGTGTCCAAGGAACACAATGACGGGCGGATGTCCAGCAGGAATCATCCATCCACACTTCCATCTACAGCTTTCTGACGGACCAGGAAAAGCGCAGGCAGACACTTTCATCCACTCAGTACATGTTAAAAATGGTGACAACACACTCTCTCCTATATAAGCACATTTAGACTCTAAAGGACTGTTATATTGTGTTACACTTTATTTATATTTTGTGTTCTGGATTCATGCTTTAATAGCTTTCAACAAACTCTATCTAGCACTTATGAGGTTAAACTAAGCTTTTTTTCCCATTACGTGCATCACGACATAATAAACCTTTAATGACGATTTGAACAATAGGGGAGAGCGGGGTGATTTGAGCCTGCGGGGAAGTTGAGCCAGCCCTTGTTTCTCTGCAGCCATAGACAAAATTGGTCATCCAATTTACTGACCCTGTGAGGCCCGTGGAATAAGTGATCACATTTTATGTTCAAGGAGTCATGATTCTTGTGTCTGAACAATTACAGACAAGTTTGAAAAAATCTCACACGTGTTAGAGCTTTAGGAATATGAGGCTATACTGTTAGCATGACAAAAGACCGGGGGGAAGTTGAGCCAGCTATTTTACAGTGATTCCGCACTGCATTCTTACATTTTTATCACCGAAGTGAATTTTAGACCAGAAACCACCATGCCATGCTTCTGTAAATGGAGGACAGACAGAGCTTCAACTCCTCTTGTGGATTTGGACACAGCGGTTGGAGAGGTATAGAACGGGAAGTCCATACGTCAGGTGGGATAGGAGATCAACAGGATGACTTTAAAAAGTGATAAATTGATATAAACCAAATAGGAGACCCGTCAAAAAGTTCAGTGAAATGTTATGAACTAACATTTCAGTTTGCATGATGAAATTTCATTAGGGATGCACCGAATGTTCGGCCACCGAAATTAATTAGCTGAAAATAGAAAAAAAAAGTGCTTTCGGTGTTCGGCCTAATACATCAGAAGAAATTTTACCGAACAATTAGGCTGACATGTCGGCAGTGTGGAATTCTGCTGAATTGTCTCCGAGAACATCCACTCAATCTGTGGCTGACTTCTTAGAAAATAACTGCTTTGAGTGTCTCTGTCACTCGTTTGTGAGAAGGCAATTAAGCTAGCCGCACCTAAATTTGGAGTGCACACGTATTCAAGCCTTTATGGTAAAGTGAAGCGGCCCAGAGCGAGCTGACAGGCAGGTTAGAGACTTTATCCTGTCAGTTTGTCTCTTTACAAAGACAAGTGCAGCTACCTGAAGAGAGGCTGTGAAGTCTTCATGTTACGCCGCACGAGAACCACATACAATATTATTTGTCAAACTGGGTCGGACTGGGTGAATTTAGCGCGAGGAGGAAACACATGTGACAATGTCGGGTTTTCTAAATAAGGCGTCTGTAGAGGATGGAAATAGGATTAATTGGATTATATTCACAAAAAGTAAGTAAATGGACACATGTAATTTACTTTACCGGACCCTCTCGGGCCCCGGACCCCCCCACCATAGTCTCCCCACATCCTGTGGGAAACACTGAGGGGAAAGCTCATTTTGACTATTTAATTTATGCAGTGGTAAAAAAAAATAAATAGGCAAAATAAATGGGAATGAACTTGTTCGGTATTAAGTATTTGGCAAATTTTTTCATTGTATTCAGTTTCGGCTTTCAGTGCATCCCTAAATTACATTGACGTCCCTGACCCCCATGTGGCTCAACTTATCTTCTACCACTTTGTTTTGGAAGGTCATATTTTAAAAACTGTTTACTTTAGATCCAAAGTGATTATTCCCATCGATGCGCCACATCCTGAAATATTTGTAAATTTTTTTAGTTGGAGAAATTATTGTTGTCCTCACTTTAAAGACGCCTAAAGAAAAAAAAAACTGGCTCAACTCTGCCTGCTCTCCCCTGATGTTGCTGCAGCTATTGTGCACATTTTTCTACTTAAAAAAAAGCGGTTATATATATATATATATATACACACACACACAGTATATATCAGGCTAATATGTGCAATATATAAATATTGGATATATATATGGGTGTTTGCCAGCGTTGATAGGAGACTGTCATGCTGTTTAGCCTTCGGATGTTGATAAAAAGCTTTTTCAACAAGCTCACACAGCATAAGCTGTCAGCTGTTAGCGTTTTTATACATCTGTCCCTTTACAATTATCAAATATTTGGAGTATCGTGTTGTTATGTACGTGCCCCATTCAGCTTAGCCTAGCTTGATTGTGTTAACTTTTAGGTGTTTTCGTACATGTGTTCGTTCTGCTTTATAGAAAACGAGGGGTTCTAGCTAACGTTAGCTGTCTCTCTTTCACGGGTCCAGTTGTCGTGACGTTAAATAACCAGACTGTTAAAACTCTACGTTACTCTGCGATTCATGTCGGAGCAGCCGATATAAGGAGAGCTCAAATCACAGACAGGGCTAAGCATCAGGTGACGCTGCGGCTGAACTACCTGTTGCACGTTAAGTAAGATATTTTAGTTCGTAAGACACCAATCAAATGACGAAGGTATCAGTAGTCAGCCATCGACAGTATAAAACATTAATCTAAGGGCCGATGTTACTACAGATAAATAAATACAATTCTTCTTTGTATCAAGTCGACAAATAATAGGAGCACAGACGAGAGACGTTCACTTTATCCTGTCCATAGCTTCATTGTTTGCTTATTGTTTGTCCTGTGGTGTGTTCATGTAACCAACTCTCACATTTTGGATGTTGGAGTGACCTTAAATGCACCTTGAAGAAGAGCTTTAACTTGCAACTTGAGACCATAGCTGTGTCTCTATTCGCATACTTCCGTTAGTACACTAACATGCAATACACTGTGTACTTATTTGTGTAGTGCTACAGAGTGGTGTTGTCTCAAATCGAACACGGATGTGGTGCACTTAACAGAAATGACAATCGCAACATCTGACTGCTTCTTCTCCTTCTTTTTAGGGGTAAATTGTAACCAGGTGGCTCATTATCGCAAACATTTGCATGTGATTGTCGCCCCGGGTTGTTTGCTCAGTTGACTTCAATGCAATTATATTAGAAATTACTAAAAAAAAACTTTTATGACTGCAACCGTTGCAGCTTCCTCTGTCGCTATCTTGGCTTTCCACACTCTTTGACCATTATAAGTGCACCATCCGGGTTCTAATAGTGCACTGGAAGGGCACGAATTGAGACACAGCAAATAAAAAGTGACTAAATCTTCACTGTGGTAGATCACACAGCACATGTGTCATGTTGATTTTTTTAGTGGAAATTAGTGGCTGCCTGGACAGGAAGACAGATGATTTGTGAGCAGCTGTGTTGAACGCGTGTGTTTTTAACGGTCCTTTAATGTGCAAATTAATTTCATCCTCCACTCAAACATCTTGTAGCTCATCTAGTGTCGCTGTTTGTCAAACTTCCAGTCATTTTTAATATTAAATAAACTCTTTTATGCTTTTGCTTGTATTTTTAACTTCCTCAGGGGATACTTTGCATGAAAGTTTGTAAGTTGTCCTGACAAACAAAACCTCACACTCTGACCATATCAGACCATATGCTGCTATATTAATTATTTAAGGAACCCAAAAGGGAAAATACCGTAGAAAAGTAAAGGTTAATATACCGAGGGAGAAAGTTGGAAGAGCTTTCGAACCAGATGTTAGTGACTGCTGAGCTTTTGATTGAAGGACCTGGTGGGTTAGATGGTGTTCTTAGTTTTACACTACTAACTAGTGACAATCAGCCACTCAGAGCTGTTTATAAATTAGATCCTGTCAATGTTACTGCGTTTTCTTGTAAACAAACTAAAGTTGTGTTTTCATTCAGTGCTACTGACCAAAACTCACTCTGTTTCCTCGAGTTCTAACAGATGTGCTGAATGCATTTCCTTCTTAAAATGTTTGAAACTTACATTGTTTCCACGTTTTCTAGCGTGCACTCATCTTCTTCTTCACTGTCTTTGCATTACAAATACAAGGTACTTTACTTCCTTGAGTGTTTACATTTCATGCTACTTTATACTTCAAGACATTGTCACTCCCAACTCGTCACAAACTGTAAGTCTTGATCAAGACCCCTTTGGGTCATCCTGGGTTCCCCTTTAGCATAGTTTTTTCACGTGTAGGGCCCCTCGGTCAAGTTAGCAGTAATAAATATGCAACGTCCGGTTACACTTTCATCATAAAACTAGTGTTTACCGTCAAACGTTGCAGTTTGGTTAGGTTTAGGCACTAGAACCACTTTAGTTAATCTGTATAGCACATTTCAGCATCACGGCAATTCAAAGTGCTTTGCAGAAAACACCATCAGTTTATCTTGGTCTCATCAGACCACAGGACATGGTTCCAGTAATCCATGTCCTTAGTCTGCTTGTCTTCAGCAAAATGTTTGCAGGCTTTCTTGTGCAGCATCTTTAGAAGAGGCTTCCTTCTGGGGACAGCCATGCAGACCAGTTTGATGCAGTGTGCGGCGTCTGGTCTGACCCCTGACAGGCTGACCCCCCTCACCCCTTCAACCTCTGCAGCAACGCTGGCAGCACTCAGACGCCTATTTCCCAAAGACAACCTCTGGATATGACGCTGAGCACGTGCACTTTTTGGTCGACCATGGCGAGGCCTTTCTGAGTGGAACCTGTCCTGTTGAACCGCTGTATGGTCTCGGCCACCGTGCTGCAGCTCAGCTTCAGGGTCGTGGCAGTCTACTTACTGCCTCGGCCATCTTTATGTAGAGCAACTGTTCTTTTTTTCAGGTCCTCAGAGAGTTATTTTCCATGAGGTGCCATGTTGAACTTCCAGTGAGCAGCATGAGGGAGTGTGAGAGCGACGACACCAAATTTAACACACCTGCTCCCCGTTCACACCTGAGACCTTGTAACACCAACGAGTCACATGACACCAGGGAGGGAAAATGGCTGATTGGGCCCAATTTTGACATTTTCACTTAGGGGTGTCCTCACTTTTGTTGCCAGCGGTTTAGACATTAATGGCTGTGTGATGTGTTATTTTGAGGAGACAGCAAATTTACACTGTTACTGTACACTCACTACTTTACACTGGAGCAAAGAGTCATTTCTTCAGTGTCGTCACATGAAAAGATTTAATCACATATTTACAAAGATGTGAGGGGTGGATTCACTTTTGTGAGATACTGTATCTACTTCCACCACTGCAGTGTTTTCATACTATTATCTACGTCTTCAGATTATGGGACACCAATATCACTAATTAGTCTGTGTTTTCATTCATCTGGTATGATAATAATAAAAAACTAAATGTCGCCTTTCATTACATTTTTTATTATTTCATGCTAAATGGAACATTTATGAATTTGTTTGCAAGTTTGTCCACTGATGAATTTGAAACCGAGCAAACTCTCATCACACTGACATCTGTTGTTATGAAGACACAGATGGAGTGTTTTGAAGAGCCTCTATCTATTGTATCTCTGCTGAACTTATTAAACACTGTTGCTGGCACAATTACTTTCGCTCAAACCAGAAACAATGGAAACATTGATAAGTCCAACAATGACTTGTTCTTGTCCTACCACCTCTTCCTTCCCTCCCCATATTTTCTTCTTTCATTTTGTCTCTGTTGAACAAAAATTACTGTGATATTAGCGTTTAGACACAAAGCTGCATGGGGGGAATCTTACTGAAGCCAGACTGAGTGTCTTCTGTAGGCTGTGACTTAAATGTTACGCAGTTGCTCATGTAAATGTGTGATAAAGTAATACAATGTATAATTAATTTCTCTATTAGATAAGTTGCAGGTCCAAAGAAGGCTATTTAATTACGTTAATTACTGTTACTGCACAGTAGATTGGTTCAATCAGTGTGAGATTTTAACCGTTCTTTAACCTGCTACTTGTGATTGTGCTCAGCTTTCTTTGGAATGAAATTAGTTGGCAACTGTTTTCCTTCGCTTTGCTTTCTTTCTTTTCTTTTTTGGTACCTTGATTTCTCTTTCTTGGGGACAGACGTAA